GTGTGTGTGTGTGTGTCAATTCAACGTAATTCAGTGTGTTAGATAAAGAGACGCTTACAATGGATCTTTGGTAAGTTCCTTTTGGTAGGCAATCGGCGACTGTATCGCCTTGAGAAAGTCACGCTGCGTTTGCAGGATGGCAGTGATCGTGTCTACCCATTCCTGCTTCCGCGGCCCGTTCTCTTCTGCCGCGGTACAAGAGAACGCGAGCATAGGCTTTCGACGATCCGTCGACCGAATTATAAACTTTTCCGGATCGTCGGAGGGATTTTGTTGCAAGTCCATCTTGTTCACCTGTGTGTGCGAGAAAAAGGAAAAAAAACCTGTGACTGTTTATATTTACAGTCGTGCAACTCTTCTTCTTTCCCCGACTACGCAGCAAACTACCACACACCACGTTAATTATTCCAAAAGATCGCGACGAGAAAAGACGAGAAATACTTTTGTTTCGATTCTTCTGCTTTCTTTCTTTCAATTTAATCGGGTTGGTGCGTTTCTTGCGTGGAGTTACTACTTTGTAACTAATGCAACAACAATCGGTAGAATCGGTAAATACGTTATTTACCTGAATGTGAGCCTTGTAAATGTAGACGGGATTTGTAAAGTGCGTCTTTTTACCGACAGCTTCGCTAAAAATAATGTTCTGTTCGAAGAGGAAGACTTGCCATTCTTTCTCCTTACTCGGTAAATTTGAGGTGAACTCTGATACTAGAAGCGGTCCGTGCAACAACAACTTGCCTTGAGCTGTGATCTTGCCCTGTGCGTGTGCGAAAGAGAAGTATATTCGTCAGAGAGAAAGCAAAACACGAGACAGACAGACAGACAGACAGTTTTTAAATTTTTTAGATTTGATAGATTTTTCTAGTTTTCTAGTTTTCTAGTTTTCTAGTTTTCTAGTTGACTTACGTCGAAACCTTGGAGCCTCGCTACGTCCATCATGTCGTTGGCCGCTTTTGGTATGACACGCATCACGTGCACCGCCGCTCGAAGCCCTTCGATCTCCGACGTTGTTCGAGTTCGTTCGGTAAGTCTCAACGCGTCGCGAAGAAGAAGTTGATACTTGGTGATCCTTTGAACCGGCTTGATCAAAAGGTCGCACAATTGTAACCGATGTCCGAGCTTTTGTCTCAAATCCTAGACGACACACACAACGGTAACGCACGGTAAGTTGCGGTGAGTACAAAGGTTACAGCGATGCGAAAACGAAAAGAAAAGAAAAGAAAAGAAAAGA